CCTACACAATTTCTAGTAATATTACTTTGATACATGATAAATTAGACAATGAAAATAAACATCAAATTTAATTACCAAGACGCTTCCCAGTGGCAGCAGTAAGAAGAGGGGGAGATGGGCTATTTTTATCCCGTCTTTGTGTCTGAAGTGGCCAGTAATACCATATATTTACGGTATCTCCTATAAATAATTAATTAAAATTTATTTTTTGCATAGAATATTCAGTAAATGACTTTTAAATAAATAAACAAATAATTCGGTAAATCTATTTCAAGTAAATGGAAAATAAGCAAACAAATGTTATTTACCACCACCCCTTCCCTCTGGCTCAGGGTGAGATGGAGGGGAGATAAAGAAGGCTATTTATAGCCCGCCTTTGTGTCTGAAGTGACCAGTACTCTAATGCACCATAAATAATTCATTTAACATTTATTTTTTTTACATACAGTGATTTCTGCTATAACGCGTGTTTTGATAACGCGAATTTCCTCTAACGCGATTTATGAATTAGGAACGATATTTGTATAACGCGAACGCTTGTTTGCTATAACGCGATTTTTGCTTACTATTTCTCCAATTTTGTGGTACTGTATTAACTGTGAATATAGTAAAGAAGAATATCAACAAGAAGCGTTCTGGTGATAGAATTCCCGGTGATGATCGTAAAAGAAAGGATATAACACTTGAAGAGAAGCTCGATTTTATCAACCTCAAAATCACCCTTCTCCCCCATCAAGTAAAGTGTTACATTTACTGTATGATTTCATTATTAGATATGAATGTAACATTTATTTAAACTGTGCTATCCTTTGTGTTAGGCTAACTACTAAATTTTTTCGATTTCGAGTAATCTGCACCTAACCCTATTTTCTCCATAAAGCCCTGTTATTTCTATTAGCGATTTTCTATAACACGATATTTTACAAGAACACAATTATCGGCGTTATAGCAAAACTATTTTGTTGTATATATATATATATATATATATATATATATATATATATATATATATATATATATATATATATATATATATATATATATATATATATATATATATATATATATATATATATATATATATATATATATATATATATATATATATATATATGATTTTACCCAGCGGTATCGCCGTGTTTTACTTATCTGTGTTGCCATGTTTCCATGGGATTTTTACATATACTCGGTGAGTGTCGAGGGCGCTATTTTAGATTTGCCCACCGCCATGCCTGTTTAGCTCATAAAATTCATACAAATAACAGGCCAGAAATATAATTTACATTGCTGGAATTCTTATAATTTGGTGATCATTTTGAATATAAACATCATATATTTTGCTTTAAACTTACAATATTTAGATAAAATTTTTCTCAGGTAACTATGGTATCTTTTGTGCAAAATATATGACATTTATTCAAAATATTCCTGGTCTTACAAGGAATCCAGCAATGTCAATTATATTATCCTAACTTGTTTGAGGTATTATTTATTAAAATTTAGTGGTTATCACACATCCTTGGGACGGTTGGTGGGGTTGGGGGAGGAGGGACCGACCGACCATCTGTTACCCTGTGAAGAATTATTTTTTTTTACTTTGAAGATATTTGTTTAGCTCATAAAATTCATAAATTACCGGTCAGAATATAATTTACATTGCTGGAATTCTTATAATTTGGTGATCATTTGAATATAAACATCATATATTTTGCTTTAAACTTACAATTTTTAGATAAAAATTTTTCTCTAGGTAACTATGGTATCTTTTGTGCAAAATATATGACATTTATATTCAAAATATTCCTGGTCTTACAAGGAATCCAGCAATGTCAATTATATTTTCCTAACTTTAGTTTGAGGTTATCACATCTCCTTGGGACGGTTGGTGGGGGTGGGGAGGGAGGACGGCCATCTGTTAACCGGGCTGTGTAGTGTGAGGAGAGTTGAGTCCATTATTTGAATGGACATTAACTGTATTCTCTGTAATTATTGTGCATGTATCATAAAATAAGATGTTATTTTTACTACTAGGTATGTGCCTTCAAAAGTGGAGTTTGGGGGTGGGCGGTTTCTGTGGAATTAATCCCATATGTTCTGTTGTTCATCTTGGTTTCACTAGCAGGACCCTCTGGGTTCAATTGGCGGTTAAGTGGGGTACAACTGTATATCTTGATAAAATACTGCGGAAATGGAAACAGGTACCTTAGCTTTAGTCTTTATTCAAGACATCTTCAGAAACGTGGATTACATGGACAGAGAGAGGCTTAAATATACGGGGTGACCTAAAAACATGAGGTCAGGTCAAAATGATGACATCCACTAATCCCCACACTAACAACGTGAGAGCTTAAGAAAAGTTGGTGGCGTGACTAGCCAAGTCAGGTCAGAAAAAGGGACCCACAAAATAACTATCATACATCTAGATCAAAGGTTTTCAAAGCATTTTTAACCTTGGGCCACTGACAAAAAATTTATGTAACATATTATCAGTTTGAACTGACCATCACTAAGTTTGTTGATTTTATTTCCTTAATCTAAATCAAACTAGCTTCAACAAAGTCTTTCTGTGACACAAGATGATTTGAATACTTCTAAGCTTTTTCCCAAGCAATGGGGTGATTATTAACCCTAACATGAACAAACAAGGCACTGCTTTCAGATGCAGTTCTGATATTATACTTGTATTGTTTTGATTCTGAACTGCAGTGTTTTTCTGTCTGACCCTACATAGTCACAATTACATTTTGCTATATAGAATACAATAAACACTTCATTTACATTCAAACTTGGGCTATTCCTTATTAACATATTTGGTAATGGTTGAGTCATACTTGAAAACAACATTAACTTTAGAAGCTTGAGGACCGAACTAACGGGACAAATTCATTCTGATAGGGCAAGTCAAAAATATTGTAAATTCTTAGGAACTTGTCTGGTTTGGGGAGATGAAAGAATTACAACCCTTGCAAAATAGCGATCAACTTGAAACACAGAAGGGTACCCAAGTTTATGTGCAATAGAGCAGATGTGTTCAATTCATCGTCAGTAAATTCAGAGTCACAAATCATGAACATCTTGAAACATAACAGAAATAAACGTTTTTGGTAGACTCAAGGTGATTAGATAAAAGTGAATGAAACTGTCTGCACCTGTATTGAACTTTCTTTATGTAAATTTATAGTTTTGGCCATTCTCATGATAAGCATATCAAGAAATGGAGGATTCATTATTTCCTCTTTCAATTTTGAATGTGATACAAAGGTTATTCATATTGATAAACATCTATAAAATTCAATGGGTCATATTTTTTGGGCCCAAGACAAAGAACATCAATCTACATATCTATACCATGGAGGAATAAGTCCACTATATTGGGTGTGTCTAGACTCAAAAAACTCCATGTAAGCCCAGGCTGAGAGCAGAAAGAGACAAACATACTCATGCAATGCGCCCTGTTTAGTAACCTCTCCCAGATAGTTGTTAGGAGGGAACTGATGTGGTGTAGTAATTCCCTCCAGATGGTGTTATGAGGGCCTCACTTGTATTATTCCCTCACAGATGGTGTTATAGAGGGGGGCCTCACGTGGTGTAAATAGTTCCCTACATAGATAGTGTTATGAGGGACCTGGCGTGGTCTGTAGTAATTCCTCACAGATGGTGTTATGAGGGGCCTGGCGTGGTGTATTAATTCCCTCACAGATGTGGTGTTATGAGGGGCCTGTCGTGGTGTAGTAATTCCCCTCACAGATGGTGTTATGAGGGGCATCCGTGGTGTAAGTAACTCCCTCACAGATGGTGTATGAGGACTTGGCGTGGTGTAGTAACTCCCTCACAGATGGTGTTATGAGGGGGCTTCACGTGGTGTAGTGAAATTCCCTCACAGATGGTGTTATGAGGACTTCCGCGTGGTGTAGTAATTCCCTCACAGATGATTGTTACTGTAAGTGAGGTCTGGCCCCAGAGCCTTCCCTATAAATAAACCCGGATTAACACATCGCCCGGTTGTTGGGTCTCGGGGCGTTATCACTGGGTACCTGGGACCTCTCACTGTGTGAAGGGTTAGCAGATCGACTTTTACTGTTGAGTTGTTCTCACTGACTCAAGGCTGACCACCTCTGTTTAACACTGGTTCTCATTCCTTTCCCAAATGAAATTGTAACTTCTGGCGAGAACCTGGTGATACTCGGTGGGAGAAGTGGTTCAGGGGAGGGGGTTGGTATAGGCCACCTTAACAGTTGACCTGGCTGCTCGAGGGCGCCAGGTGCGTCTTGACCATGATTGGTCAAGGATGTGGTAACTCTTGTGTATGTACATGTCGTGGCCGTGGCGTGACGTGTGTGTGGCTGTGGCCGTGTGTGGCGTGTGTGTGTGTGTGTGTGTGTGTGTGTATATATATATATATATATATTTCGTGGATAAGATGAAATCTTGATAAAATCACACTGGAAAAAAACAACAGACCGCTTAAGATCTTTTATTCAAGACATCTTCCAGAGCAACTGAGATATGGCAGATAAAAATATATATATATATATATATATATATATATATATATATATATATATATATATATATATATATATATATATATATATATATATATATATATATATATATATATATATATATATATATATATATATATATATATTTCAAGTAAGTAAAATTTTACCCGACACAGACTTAGTTCAGTTACCGTAAATAACAGACAGCTTCAGTGACGCCACTATGTTTACACTACACACCACGGTAACATTTGATGACATTACTTGAAGTGAATTGGCCTATTACTAAAAACCAAGGATGGTTGTAAAGAGACTACTGGTCAGTGGTTAAATTAACATTTGGGGTACTGATCTTATACAGCGAATAGAGCTCAAAAGCTACTTTTTAAATGGAAATTTGGGGGGGCCGTCTTATGCACCCCGACGCCTTATAGGCCGAGATATACGGTAGTGATTTTTTTTAAATTGTTAAAATTTACCACAATTTCCGTAAGGGCGGATTTACTGGCCGTATCGCGAAATCATTGGTCATAATTTACAAATTCCGTAAGAGCGAAATTTCATAACCCGGGCTTCTGTAACGCGGGGGATGCCTGTATACCCGTGTGGGGAGGAGGGAGTATGCTGATTATAGCACGAATGAAACCCAGGGGGTAATATCGATGGCTTTTTGAGGTCCCTAACCCCACCTCTAGCAGTAATTGCCTGTATACAGTACAGTGGAATTACATAATTACCTGAGAACGGTTCTGCAAATTTACATTTTATTATAAAACTGCATTATTGCAATACATTTTATCTGAGAAAATGGGAGATAGATTCTGAAAAATACTTGTACACAAGACATGTCACATGCTTTATTAAATGTAGAAATACAAGTACAAGTGCTCCTCTGCTTTGAACATTAAACTTACAAACTCTTAAAGATGTGAACAAACCTGTCCATAAGTCCCATTGACTCTTCGAAGTGTGAGTCATAAGTACAGCAGCCACGTGGTACATGGTTGTGTCATATCGTTTGAATTCACATCTTTCAGGAATGCACATGCTGTACAATGATATGCAGGGACCCCCATATTATTTTTTTAATTGATTAAAAATAACATTATTTCTGGTAAGTAAAATTTTAGTGTTTTGTTCATTTATTATCATGTTACATCATGATTGATTTATTGTATGTGGTTAAAACCATCTGATTTCATTCATATATGCTTGTGTCACGTTTTTGGGGGCTCAAAAAATTTCTGTAGGAGAGCATCTCAACTTTTATAATGGAAGTACAGTACAGTATATGGTAAAAATGGCTTCGCGTTACGGAAAACTTTTCAAGAACGGGACCCTTCTGTAATCTGGGGGGATGCTTGTAACTTGATCTATACTACTGGTAAAATGGTATTTCTAGATAAGTCCTTCATTTCTGTTGATAGCATTACATTGTACTTCTCCAAGTTTTATCAAGTTTGCTCCCCTAGATATATGCACAATGCTGTTGATTTTGGTGAAAAAAGGTCAAAGGTCAATATCTCCATAGGCATATTATATTCTTTTTGTGATAATCATTAACTCCATAAGTCTCAGGTCGTTAGTTTATACAGTATACCTGTATGAGTCTCCACAGATAGTTTTTATAACTCCCACTAACATATGCAGATGGATTGATGATGGTGCCAGGGACCAAACTTCACAAATACTGTTCGGGGAACATTCTGCATACTGTTGCAGATGTTACTAGCTTTAGTATTGGGCTGCAGTTTATGTGTTAATTTAAAGATAATTTTGATTTTTAAATGAGCATAAGATACATTAAACTGATGGAATTGATTTGTTATTTCCATGAAAGGGCTGCAACATTCAACCATAGGTGGACCACATCCATATGGATTAGCCCCAACAGAAACCCTTCTACCCAAGCACTTGACTTCCTTGGGTTATATTAATCATCACGTTGGAAAATGGCATCTGGGCTTCTTCAAGAAGACTTACACTCCCACATACAGAGGCTTTGAGAGTCACTTTGGATATTGGAGCGGTCGTATAGACTATTTTGATCACACAGCTTTTGAACAAGTACGTCAAGAATCTTAAGTTATGAATTATATTATAGGTTCTAACGATTTTTAAATTTTTAGACTGTAGCCGCTGATTATTTCATGAGATAGGAACTGAAAACATTCGTAAAGTAAATACTTGTGATATAAAGATATTTTTAGTATTGTACTGTATAATTCAATACAAAATAAGGGGATAGGGACCAAAGTCCCCCCAAATTCTCCAAACAATGCTTAAATGGTGTATTTCCTTATTAACATAACAAGAAATGTACAGTGCACTAATCATTCCATATAACAGAATAAAGCATGCAGACCACTTTTGATGAAGGGGAATTCCCCGAATTGAATACAGGTATCTTCAGACTTACAATGGGGCTATGTTCCTGAAAAACCTTCACAAGTCGAAATATCGTAAATCAAGTTCATTATAACATGGGGTTCAATGGGATGCGTTCCAAGTCAGTCTGACACCCACATGTATCACCAAAAATCAAATTTTTACAATATTAATATTTATAAAACACAATTAAACAACACTCACCACATCATTAACAACAAGCCTGGTCGTAATCACATGACCCTTTCGAGGTTCAGGGGACTCTTGAAGGTGGAGTGGAGACGTCACTCTGATTTTCACACAGCTTCACAATGTCAAGCTCCACCTCCAGAGACATAGTAGTTTTCTTGGGTGCCTTGGCATTCCTAAACATTTTCAAAGTTACACTGCTCAATTTGCAGTCACAAAAATAGAATGACAGCACTTGCCTCAAAAACAGAGTGAACGATGATAACATAAAAACAATGATAGCTGCCGACACTGCTCACTTCATGTTCACAACAACAGACGCAAAACACTTAGTCACACAAAAAAAGGAAAAATCACTTCACATTCACCGAAACAAAGTACAAAGTGAACGTTAGTGATGTCCTCTCGCTGTAAGGAAAAAACACTGATGATAAGTAACAACACCGATACTCACCAATAATTGTTGAGCTACACAATCACGAGCATGTGCAATCACCATGGAACAAAGCTTGGTACTGTAGTACACTGGGTGACTATATGGGGGTAGACCACAGCTGACAAGTGCAGCGAGAGATGAATTTCTTATTCTGCACATCAGCAGTTTTAGCCAGACGGTGACCATCGTTCATGTGAAATTTTTTTGGTAGTAAATAGGAAGGTGGTCTTAATACATCACCATTGTTCAAGCTAAAAATTGTAGATATGGAGATCGTAAATGGGGGGATACTGTACTTGTACAGTTATGTCTGCCAATGAAGTGGATACTGGTATCTTTATGAAATCCATTTTGTTCTTGGAAATTTCATTGTCAGAGTTAGATTTAAATGGGAATAGGTTCCAGCCCTACTCCAATGTGCGAAAGGAATTTATTATGTGTTGAGAGTACAGTAAGTCCTCGCTTAACGTCGTGGTTCTGTTTCTGAAAACCACGACGTTAACAATCAATTTTCCCCATAAGAAATAGATAAAATACGGGCGTTATGTTCCCCAGCCTCCCTTTGCCCCATAAAATACATTACATATACATAAATTCAATGGAATTTTTATAGAAAATAGTATATATTATACATCCAAAAAGATAAATACACTAAATAACTTTGTATTGTACTCATTGATGGGCGGAGGTGGAGCGAGTGTGTGGTGGGTAGTGGAGAAGAGGAAGGCGGGAGAGGAGGAGGGTGGCGAGTCACTGAGACCCGGAGGGTGGCTCCTCCCGCTCTGACTGGGTGAGAAAGAGTCATGCGCTGTACAGAGTACCTGTAGTCTGTGACGATCTTATACCAAATCGGCGGGACGTTGCCCGAATGATGGGTATCTAAAGAGTAGTGACGGTATAACAAAACAACGTTGTCGGAGGCAATGTTAAACGATGACTTACTGTAATAGGATTTAGGAAATGTGGCTACATAAATTCTCTGATTATTACATAGATTTTTTTATGAACCGTACCCTTAAATGAAGAGCCCTACCTGCACTGTATTGTATATGAACTTAAAATATAATAAAATCATACTTAAAGGTGTTTCCGTATGATAGAAAGAAAATATATACTTGAATTCCACTTTGTTCTTGGAAATTTAGTTGTCAGAGATAGATTATAGAGTAAATGAGAATAGGTTCCATTCCTTCCTTATTTTGTGTTTTGCATATGCCAAAAATTAACAAAACTGATTAAATAAACAATAAAAATGATTCATGGCACATCATAAAACACAGTAGCATATATTTCATGTACAAAAAATATCTCCTTCCACTCTCAAATCACCCCGAGTGATGCCGAGAGAGGGCAACAGTTCAGCCAGACACGTGTGCGCCGTGCTGTGTGTATACCATGATGTCACATTGGAAGATGCAGGTGGCTGGGCTAGCAACACAATGGCAACAAACCATACTGGCATTTTAATAGAAAATATTTGTTTTGAATTGAACTTAAATTTAACTAAACTTAGCTTGACAATCAGTGTTGAAGAGAATAAATTAGTTATCAAAGGTACAGTAGCTAAAACAACTATCTCTGCAGGTGGAGGTCGATATGCTCCAAAATTTTACGTGTTACTAGTGACAGCCCTCATATACCAATATTTATCGTCTATGGTCTCATATTGTCTCTTACAAAGTATGGACAGATACAGGTACCTATCGTTTTACGCGTGTTTTTTTTTTTGCCCGTTTTCAAATTAACACTCGGTAAAAAATCCAGAAAATGCCTCTAAGAAGCCAAGGTTGTCCTTAACCCTGGAGCAGAAGGTGTATAGAATAAGCTGAACATAAGTGTGATTTGCCTGAGTGTACAAGTGGTGCAAAGAAGGGTTGTATAAACGGGGCTGATGCACACTCCCGTCTTGCCTCAGACGCCTCTCTCACTCACTGTTTTTTTTTTGCACGAAATTTGATTTACACGACCTCTTCAAGAACGTTACCCTTGTGTAAATCGAGACGTACCTGTAGTTGTTATAACTACTGTACATGAGAGGTGCACGTGTTTAAGCTGAAATAGGCCTATCAAGCCATGTCACCAGGTGTATTTTTGAAAAACACTCACTGCCTCCACATGTATAAACCCATGCCACCTCATTTTTTTCTTTTTAGTTTAATATTATATTTCTTTATTTTTAAGATCACATTAGAGTATTGAAATGATTTCACAACTTTTTAGTTTCATTACATGTAACAGTGGTAAAGTGCATAGCCATCTCACAGCTGACTGGTGACATTTGTTGTGGAGAATTTTACAGTAACGAATGGGATCCCAAAATATTCATCACAAACATCTGTAACAAACATACCATTTTTCACATTACATACTTTCATTATTCTACATCGTTTAGCATCACTTAATTAAAGTATTTACCCTGTACCGTATATCACGGCCTATAAGGCGGCGGGGTGCATAAGACGCCCCCCCCAAATTTCCATTTAAAAAGTAGCTTTTGAGCTCTATTTGCTGTATAAGACCAGTACCCCAAATGTGACACTTACCCACTGACTCAGTAGTCCTTTACCAACCATCCTTGATTTTTTAAAATAAGGCCAATTCACTTCAAGTAATGTCATCAAATTATACCCGCTGGTGTAGTGTAAACACTAGTGACGTCACTGAAGCGTGTTGGGAGTGTTCCCTCGTCTCGGTGGTGTGACTATTTATACAACATGTGGTTCAACAGCAACCAACGTATTCTAATTGTGGTGTTTCATTAGGATTTGAGTGAAAAAGGTTACCAGTATGTACTTACTACATACATTTATTACACAAATATATATATATATATATATATATATATATATATACTGAATATACTATGTACAAAAAATGAATGTTCAATGAATTATTTATGGTGCATTAGGGTACTGGTCACTTCTGATGGGCTATAAATAGCCTTCTTTATCTCCCCTACATCTCACCCTGAGCCAGACGGAAGGGTCTTGGTAAATAACATGTTTGCTTATTTTCCATTTACTTTAAATAGATTTACCGAATTATTTGTTTTATTTATTTATTTATAATATACTGTAATATATTAAACACACTGTAATTATTTTCTTTAATTTATAAACTGTTTTGCGACAAAGGAATGTTCTCCAGTAGTGTTTCATTAGGATTTGAGTGAAAAAATATTACGTACTTACACAATTGTTCCTCTTACTTTGACAACACAACATACATACAGTATATTATTTCTCAGTTTTGATCTTTTTTTTAATTTTTGTATTTATTTATAGTTAGTTACTTAAAATAAGGCCAATTCACTTCAAGTAATGGCATCAAATATTACCAGCTGGTGTAGTGTAAACACTAGTGACGTCACTTGAGCGTCTGTAATTAACCGTCGATAGTTTCAAGAATTAATGCACTCATTTACTGAATATTCTTTGTAAAAAAATAAAATTTAAATCAATTATTTATAGGAGATAAATATTATTATGAGTAAATATACCGATACCGGTATGCATTACTGACCCCCTCCACGGCTCCTCACTGGCAAATGGGGGGGGGGGGCGTGGGGAGGGGTGTGTGATGATAGCTGTGTTTATTATAGGGGTATAAATCTCTTTTACGGTATGTTAGACAGGTTTATAATACATTTTTATTATTTTAATATACCGGTAATCTTAATTTGAATCCAGCTTGCCAAACGTAAGTTTCAGTATAAAATAATTAGTGGTAAGACCTTGTGAGTGGCTTACGATGTTTTCATCACCACTCTTGACACACTAAACCACAATATTTAAGAGGTAAGAATTTTAAACTTGGTGGTTTAGACGACCCCCTAACTTTGGGCAGATTTTTTTAATGTTCAAATCTCGTCTTATAGGCCGTGATATACGGTATATTATTTGTTATGGGATATTGTTATTGTTTTGTATATGCAGGGTTCTGCTTTAACTTAACCTAAACTATGAAATTTACAATGTTCCTACTTACAAGCAGGGTTCAGGAATGTAACCTGTTTGTAATTTGGGAACTGCCTGTACTTTCAGTGATTACTTTA